TTATTTAATATTCCATTTTATTTTATATATATTAGAATTATGATTTTAGCAAATTTTTTAACTAATAAATAACATTTGTATACTACATTTCTAATAAAAATATCAATTATTTAAAGAATTCCGTCTGCATTCTCGATAATAATTTCTCCCAAAATGCTGGTCCAAGGAACTTTGAACGATTCATAAATGTTTGTTTGATTCAATTAAGACATATTAATGAAAATCGAAAGCTCAGCGCAAAATGTATAGAAAAAGGAAGATCAATCAAACAAGTTTTCTATTAGAATACAATAGAACACGAAATTTGTCTGTAGACAAAGCTAAACTCTTTCGTTTTTGTTGCTGTAGCTGAATCATCATCTTCTACATGATGATGATGATCAACAAGAACATCATTGTGTGATCAAACCGATTAATTTTTATGTTTTAATGTGGCACAATTTATACATCTATATAGAATGTTGAGAGAGTACATAAGAGTAAGAGTTATTGTATGAGTGCTTATATACTCGAGCAGCACTCATTGAATGCAGCAAGCCACAAGCACACACACACAGCCACAAATAATAATAATAATACCCGCCTCTGACTGCTGTTGCCCCAGTTGAGTGCACACACACACACATTCACACACATACTTGTGCCGACTCGAACCGAAGTCGAACCCTGCCTCTATCTCAAGCCGATCCGCACCCGCAGCAGCAGCAGCAGCCGCAACAGGAGCAGGGGCGGCGGCGGGTGGCATGCAACAGTGGCAGCATGAGCCGCCAATTCGCCAGCTCAGTTCAGTAAATTGATTCTTTAATTGTCGAGAATTGGTTACGAGTTTGTTTAACTCGCTTTGCTGCTTTTGCCTTTGCTTGTGCGGCTTGTTGCCCCTCCACCTCCGCCTCCTCCTCCTCCTCCTCCTCCTCCTGCTCGTGCAACCCATGCCACAGTGCCCCCATCTGAGGCATGACAGCCAACAGAGAATGAGCAATGCGCATGAATCGAGCGGCTTACATGAAGCACTCGTATCTGCATTCGTATCTGCCGTCGTATCTACTGCATCTACTCTATAGGCATATGGCTGTCTATGGCTGTCTCGAGTCGAGGCATGAGTCAGAGATTCCAAAATAAATATGTATGCAAATACCAGAGGAATTATGCAAAAGACAGACCGAGCCCCTTGTCGTGATCGACCGAGAGGCGACTGTCGAGCGATTCTCAGATTCGCAGTCGTGAAACTCAATGCTCCGCGAGAAAAAGAGCAAAGAGTGATGAGAAACAAGAAAGAAGAAGGGAGAAAGAAGAAAGAAGGTAAAGGTAAACGTAGACAAGACAAACCAGAGCGAGTCTGATGATCCTCATTTGGCTTATTTACCCGTGTCAGGGCGATGGAATTCGAACCCAATATTATAATGCGCCGATATTGATGGCCATTTCATAGGCAGCCTTTGAGCTGGGGCTGAAATACTTTTTAGGAGATTCGCAAAGGCTGCCAAGGCTGCTCACCCTTGGCAATCCAATCAAACTGATAGCAATCGCATTGTTTATGGCCAAAGGGGTTAGCCTAGGGGCTACAGGGAGGAGCAGAGGATCTTTCTCTCTCTCTCTCTCTCTTTGTTCGAAAAACACACATTCTCACGCTGCTGCGACACGCTTGCCTAACTAAAAAAAATCGAAACAAGGAGCTGCGGTATATCGCCCTCTGCCCTACCCTGTTTACCTGGTTACTGTTGCTAACATCCTCATTCATTGTGCTTCCTGTTGATGTTGTTGTTGTTGTTTTTGTTGTGTTGTCGCCTATTAGGCATCTATGGAATAATTAACAGCGTAACCGATATGCGAATGAATGGCACACACTCACACACGCACACTCACACACACCCCGTCGCGCTGCCATTCAAAATTGGCATACTCACTTCCGATTGAATGAGTGCCTGCATCTATATATATATATACTATATAGTATATGTAATCGAGGGAGTGCTGGCGCTGCAGTCGGTTTATTGATCGTGATAAATAACTGCATTAATGTGACAGCTTTCGCCTATAAATTATAGATTTTACAGTTTGCATTCAACTAGCAATAAGAAAAAAAAAGCAGGTAATATTTACTTAATGTGCACTATGATTGAGCAATAGCTGAAACGAGTTTCGCTTGCTTTTAAATGCCAAGAGTTTTCAACACAGATGATAAATGATAAAGTTTTTTAGGAAGTCTCTGATGTTTTGTAGATCTTTTTGGGCATTCCCCAGAGTGAATCAGTTGTCATCACCGCAAAAGAATGTGATTGAAATATATAAAAATAGAAATTTAAAATTTCTTCTGCACAAGAGCAGGATCCATATAAATCTATTTTAAGCACCGCCCTCTAATCCTCCGCACACGAGTGTGAATCACAGCAAATTATTCTCAAAGTATTTCGTCAATCTCTTAATACCGCGCAAAGTTCAGCGCATTTGACTTGTAGAATACTCTTTATATAGGTCAAAAATTGTTCCATAAATTCCAAAAGACTCACACACACACACACAAAGAGACAGTCATTAGTATTTAGTTGAATCTGATCAAGTCGGTTCAAAGGGTCTCCACACACAGAGATTAGATTATGCGCCTACAATTGCAACAGATTTCCGCTGCACTAAAACTTGGATTATACATATATATGTATATATAGCGTATATGTATGTATATAGAGGGCTCTACCAAAAACTTACCCAGGGCAGATCGGGCGATCAGTAGCACAGCCAGCAGCAGCAGCAATTGATTCTTTCGGACTGTTCCCGACACCATTTTCGTAGTTCTCTCTTAACTGCTCGACACTCGAAAGTAATATGATAATGTAGATTGGGGAATATATTCTGGCAACGTTCTTAAACTGTGTCACACGTCTTCGTCTTCGTCTTCGTCTTGACTGTTGCTTGTTTATTATTCTTGTGATTTCCCACAAAATCACACAAATTATTGCCGAGTAATTAATTATTGAAGTTGATTTCGTTGCCGTTCAATGTCCCAATTTTCAGCCTACATATTCAGCACTTTTCCACAAAAGAAGCGTAATTACTCTGCTTTGTAGTTATTTATTTATTCTCTTCTTCTTTCTTTCTTTATTTTTTGTTATTTTAGTATTTTGATTTCTGGCTCCGTTCACACTTCACTCAATCCGGCACAGATAAACGAACTTCACCAAAAACTTTCTGTGTTCACAGTTAATCCAGGGGAAGAGTTCCAGCCGATAACGTTCCGATCTGCGTCTACGCACAAAAGTTGACTGCACGAACTCGCCTCTGTCGCATTGTCGGCGAGGCGCGAATTTATGAATTTAACTTTTACAATTCGTTCGGCTTTCGGCTTTTGACTGTTCGGCTTTCGGCTCTCGTCTGTTCGGCTCACTGGGATTCACTGCACTGTTCGTCGCAAGAGCGCTGAAACGAATGCCGTTTGTCGCATAGTTGTTGGCCCCAGCGTTGTGTTGGTGGTTGAAGAGAGAGCGAGGCAAAGGCAGAGGCAGTGCACAATGTCAGAGAGTTTGGCTAAAGAGAGCCGAAACTATAATTAAAGAGAAATGTGCTTTGGCCTTCCATTACAAATTCGAATTGCAATTGATGAAGCATAGTTTTATTTTTAATATTTTTTTATTAATTAATAAATTTTTATTTACACAAATCTTTTAAATATAAGTTAAAAATCAATACTTAAGTTTTAATTTTAACATTTTAACATTAAAATATTTTAGTACATATATAATTTATTGATATAATACAAAATAAGTACTACAATAATATTGTTTCAATTTATTTTTCGTATATTGTATATAGTATAATTATTTTCATATAGAAATTATTAATATAAGATTTGTGGAAATATTTGTTTAAATATTATTTAATTTTTTATTTGAATTTTTACATTTTTCTTATGATGTCAGAACTTATGAACCAAGTTTCCTGACATGTTCTCAATCCAAGCATGTGATTGACGTGTTATTTAATCTAAAATCTAAATTATTCATTCGATGCATCGTTAATCGTTTCAAGTCATTAAAAATTATTTACCTACAGATGATTATTTTGCAAGCAAGCCAGGCAGTTGTTTTCAGCATATATTAGCTTCTGGTTTACTGAATTGCGGAAATGCCAGGCAAAAATACCTCAAGTAATCAGCTAATGGAATGTCTACAATATATGGAAACGTTTTCAAAATAATAATCATAGGAAAATCGAGTTTACAAGTGCCCTCAGCTGGTTTCCTGATTGATTTTAGATTTTACTGTTGATAGCTTGCTTGAGACACGAAAAGAAAAACTGTACTTAGATTAGCTTTAATAAATTAACAAATTTTAGATCTATACCCATTCGGAAAGTGAAAAGAGTATATTGGTGTTATGTTATATCCGTATATATATATAATAGTATATTTATTATTTATACGAATTTTTATGATGTAGCATGGGAAAAATCTATTGAAATCTGAAGTTTCCTTTACCTTCTATCGTCTCTCCATTTTCTAATTTCTATTTCCTTCTACTACTATCTACTATATATCTCCACTGATTGAAGATGGGAAATTCAAGTAGTTAATTAAGCAATACCAAGTTATTTATGCTAATTACATTAATATGTAACTTACATTTATGTATTTTAAATTTAACATTTAGCGAAAAGGAATCCCTTGCCCAGAATACAGGCAAAACATATGTGAAACATACATAGCTGACACGTTTAAACAAATATGTTAACACTATATATACATACACATACAAATATGCTGACATATACCATATACACATACATATACATATATACACTCTATGTAGGTTAACTGAAAGGCAATCGGTTGGCAATTAATTTGGTATTCGGCTCGCAAAATGGCATGCAAAAGGAAATGTAATTATATCATGTTTATCTGCTTAAGGCATTCCTGTGCCAAATACTTTCGCATTTATTGGGCATTGCAAATTTTCGTAGCGAGCAATTTGCTGGTGTTTTCCATTTAAATATGTTCTACATGCTGCAGTTTCTCAGAAGAGACGCAAAGGACGAGCTGCAGCCGCACTGCGGTGCATTTCGCGCTGCATGAGCTGCATGAGCTGCACTGATGCAGTCTCCAGTTGCAGTTTGCTTAATGAAATTGCAACGTTCCCAGCAAAATGTTTTGTATGGGAAGCCGGACGATTGGCAAACGTTGCTGTGATTTACTCCAGCATCAGTCCGAGAGGCCGACTGGGGGAGCAGATGCAGTCACATATACATATATGGTTGTTCGTGTGGGCAGACAGTGTCTGCAATAACTGTATGAGAAGACACATGTAACATGCAATGCAACATTTGCTGATATCTTGTCGAGTTGAAGCGAGACAAACAAACAATTAAAATTAATCTACGACCATAAAACAAAGTGCGTATTGTGCGCGAGTATCTCGCGGATGCATTATGCATATCTATCTATGTGTGTATATGAGTGTGTGTGTGTGTGTGTGCACATTCATCTTGTTGTTTGTGTTGCCTTATGTTGGGGACTGTTGTTGGGCTGCCTGGTTGCCAAGTTTTGTAAACATCCGCAAAATCTCCAGATTTGGGGGCAGCAGCATCTGAGATTTTCATTTTTTTTGTTTTTGTTTTTCATCTCCAACTGCACATGTTCGCGCCTGCAGCTAAGCTGAGCAAAGCAATGCGAGGATATTAATCAAATATTTATATTTACACGTAGACAACGCACACATTGTTGCTGGTAGGCAGAGAGGTGGAGGCGGTGGCTGGGGCAGCGGCAGCGGCAGCTACGGCGGCGGCATTCACCAAATTTTCTGAGAATTTCTTTACAACTTTGAAAACAAATTAATCAAATAAACAACAGCGACAATTCAGTTATATGTATGTGTGTGTGTGTTGGTTAAAAGCTGTGCAATGCCTGCATAAAGCAACAATCAAACAAGATCTTTCTAGCTTCTAGCTGTCTCTTATCTCAGTCGCTGCGCAGACTCCACAGCCGCCGGCTAAGAGAGCCGCAATGGACGACAGCAAAGAGAGCGTTAGAAACTATGTATAGTTGGCAACGCGAGTCACACGTACAGTCGAGCAAATGTGGTGTGACCGAGTGTGTGCGTGTGTATTGGTGTGTGTGGGAGTGTGTGTCGGGGGTTGTTTAGCTGGTTTTTGTGCAAAAGAGCAGTTCATGATGGATGAAACAGGACCCACGGCCTCAGCAAAAAAGCAACTGAAGTAATTGTTTGGAATTGGAAGTGTCAGCAAATGTGCGAAAGAATTTCAATCTTCCACCGAGCAATATACTCACTCCACATATGTAAGCATACACTGACAACAATGGGAAGAGAGAACGAATTCAAAACAACTTATGAAGGATTGTCAGAGATAACAATAACAAAGACCAAATTTAAAATAATAATAATAATAATGAAAAATGAAATAAGTTTTAATATGTATAATATTATAATCACTTTTAAAGTATTCAATAAAAATTATATAAAATCCATAACAAAAATAATAACTAAATTTATGAATAATAAAAATTATTTTATTAACTATATATTTATA